GCACACCCACACACAAGCACACCCACACACAAGCACACACACACACACACAAGCACACACACATACACACAAGCACACACACACACAAGCACGCACACACACAAGCATGGACACACACACACAAACATCGTACACACACAAGCACGCACACCCATAAGCATGCACACACACACACATATATAATATATATATTATATATATTATATATTATGTGTATATTAGCAAAATTAAAATTTTTATTTAAGATTCCCTTCTTCATGAATGTTTCTCAGTTATTAGATTAAAGAATCTTTAAGGCTTCTATAACTTCCTCTCTTGTATTGTATTTCCCCTTTCTTCCCCGTTTCTCTTAAAGGAGGACAGTAATCCATATCCATATCTTTATGCTTTGTGAATATTAAGTCAAGCATAGACAGTCTGTCTTGCCCTTATTTGGAAAAAGCAAGACTGCAATTTTGAAGTAATTTTACAGTTACAAAAAATTCTTTTCCATAACCACCACCAAAAGTTATAGAACTTCTAGCAGGCTCTTTCAAGTTTCTTGGATTAGTTTTTAGTAATTTTCTTGTGACCACACCAATGTATGAGGGTGGCACGTACACTGTGGTTATATAATGTTTATCTTGTTTGTTTTTGTCTTAATAGCCTTTAGTTCTATTATGGGTCTTTTATAAAAATTCCTTTCCTTATTAATATTGCTACTCCCTCATATTCCATCTGCCCTATATTTTCTCCAATATTATAATCTCTGAGGCCTAATGTTTCATCATCTTTGGACGGATCCAGTTTGGATTCAGTGATACATTTACATCTGGTTTATAATTTCAATATTTTATCAACTTCTAGATCCTTCAAAGATAAACAATCTATATTTGTATAAATTATGTCTATATAATGTTTCAGTATTCCTTTTGGTTGCATGGCTCTTGTTTGTCTGTCTCAACATTTTGGTTCTAAGAGTAGACTTGTTTTGCTTGGAGGTCCCTCGCCCTTCAAAAGTTTTGCTAATTCAGTCCTTTGTTGATTTATGTTCTTTGCCTCTTCCAATTTCTTCTGCAATACTTCTCTGTTATCTTTGGTGTTATTTTCTCTATCCAGATCTTCATGGATGGCCAGGACTTTTGCTTTCTTTATTACATCAGCATTTGCTCATTCATGAATGTTACATGTAAAGGGCATTTTTTTCCCATTTTGAATAATCCCAACCTACTAGAACCTATGATAATCTGAATAATGATGATCAATTTCCTACCACTTAACTCCTTCCCCTTCTAACAACATTTACCTTATACTGTACCCCTAAGTTCACCCTTTCTACCCTTTCACTAGCATCCGAACCACTCTTAGAATTCTTCAACCCACTTAATTTTACCCAAATCTTTACTCTTCCTAATCCTTTTTGATATTATCTATATATTTGTTTTAAGTATTAAACTTATCATTGGAATGTTTCTCTCTCCAGGACAAATGTATGATGCATCATTGGTATAAATCAACGCTCTGAAGTTTGGTGACCAAACTTGGAAATGGCTGAGTGGATTTGGCCTCACATTTGTGTCATGCCTATTATAACTGGCTATATGCTCGTTAGCATGGCCATTTATTCTGCTGCGGTTGCTGTTGCAACATTTCATGTCACAAATCCGGTACGAAAAACTTCTAAGAGTCCTATAAGTTATTCCATTATGAAGCAATAGCCTATTTCCAAGAATTATTACATGTCCATACACCATTTATCTGTAGTTCTATTTTCCAACGACAGCTTTAGAGGGTGTTAATTTTTATCTGTTAAGTATGATAAGTTGAGAAAACTAAAGTCCATATCTGTGGTTCCTCAGTCCCAAGCCTTGCTGGATAAATGGTCTGTACTTTTTGCTGAATTTTTTACCAAATTGAAATTATTGTGATAATGAGGCTTGTTGGCAAAAGAGAGTTCACTATGATTAGTTTGGAGGAATTAATCACTTAACAATGCTCACTTGATATTACAAAGGTAAATTTCATATATGATGGTAGTTTTTAACACCAGGCCGCCGGGGAATAAAAATGGGGAAATTGCTGTGCTCATTTTCTATATTTTTGTGAAAGTCCTCTGCACATAGATTGTCTACTGCTTAGTGCTTACCACAAAGGAGTCAGTTAGTAGACCTTGTGACCTTGCGGTGATTTGAATTGGGGCGGGAAAAACATATGTTTCTAGTGCTATGAATATGTTATTTTTATTATAAACATTATAATTACTATAGATGTTATAACATAAGTAACAACAAAATTATATAACGATAAAATTTTTCGTATATCAAGAAAAGGATAAACTGGCGAGACAGGCAGTACTTGTACTGGGCTCATTGGTGACTTAGTACAAGTGTACCATCTTGTGCTAAAAACAATCAAACAAGTACTCACAGTGAACGTAGCACTTACTACCGAGTCATGCCCGTTGATTGGGTTAATTAGTTGAGAAAATTTTGTATTCAGTGCCTACTGGGGAGGGATGTAC